AAATCATGGCAATTTACAGATGTTAAAGAAAAAGAATCTCTAGAAAGTCATGATCGCCAATGTTCATAAGGAACATGGCATTAAAGATATATAGAACAAAAACTATTCAGCCATATGTTCAGAGTATCTAATTTCAGGTAATTATGGAGACATTAAACAGCTCAGGAGAGAGAGACAGAGAAAAAACGAGCATCATCAAATTCTTCCCAGAGTGTAAACAGTGGCGTACTTAACGTATATGCCATCTGAAGCGGTCTTAGAATTTGCCGCCTTTGTAAACAACATTTAAAAACGAGAATGGACAACATCTGCATCATATAAAGAAAAATTACACTTTGAACTTTTTTTTTGAATGCAGAAAAATAAAACATAGACAAGAAACGTAATAACAAATTAAGCAAATAGAAGATATATTTAAAAATAATTCGAAAAAAACTGTTAGTTACCTTAAACTGCAGCGTACAAGTCGAATTTTCAAGCTTACAAAATACTTTGGGGCCAAAATTTTAAGCCTAAAAATCTTTCTGGGGGTCATAGTTTCCGCCACTGGTAGTCTACTGTATGTTTGGGGGTCAACCGATACGGCAAATCTAAGCTTAACTCAGCATTTCGAGCTAAAACTCTTGTGGTTGACTTGTACGCCAGGTCGACTTGTACGTAGCAATTTTCGATAATAAAAATTTTTAGGATAAAATATTAGTTCATATGACAATATAGGCACTATATTACATTGACATTAACAATATAGGCATTATGAGAAGTATCCCATTGCAATAACTGAATTATATTGCAGCCCTTAAAGTAAATATTCTGCGCATTACTTAATCCTGAAGTAAAACTAGAATGAGAGGAAAAAAGGTCTAACTTAATTTTTTATATTACTTCATTATTCTAATTCATTTAAATGCCTACCCAATAAAATTTATCCCCGAATGTCATATCCCTCTTGCACCTTTAGATTTACCAATGACTGCAGATATTTGTTCATAGTGAATTATTTAATAAAGAAGTATCCGAAAATAAAAGAAAACTGATGTTATAACACATATAAGATATAAACACGGCATTCCGAAAATGAAGGTCTATATATTAAGTCTATCACAGGGAATTAATTAGGGACCAATTTTAATCTGAACAGTCATTCAACAGCGGGTTACTGACCTGTAGACTTTAATTGCTTGAAAGGAAATCTAGAAACGCGCCCGTCCAGTTTAAATGCATTGTGGATTCTATTCGAAGGAAAAAGATATTTGCTATAAATCGCAGTTCATTGTTAGAAGAAGTCTTAGATTAATTATTGGCCCTAATGCAGAAGATTCCACCTTTAGCACCATCTTTTATTTCTAATAACTATTCGGTCAGAATAAAATGCCAACTCCATACATATTGTATCCTCTTATTGGACATTCACCTGAAATTGAATTGCTTATTATCCCTCAAGAGGCTAGAGGGCGTCTGCAAGACCGTTTAACACTACCTAACCAAGTGCTAAATCTCATAGCGCCACGGAAATTACAGCGTTATGCTCGCGAAACGAAGACAGTCAAAGAGTGTCTCAAGTACTTAGTGATTAACAATGTTAAAATTAGTAATTTGTGCATGGCAAATAATCTTAGATGTGACTCAGTCGTCGACACCTGGTGTTCGACTTGATTCTATGTTATGCTCATTAAATAAATGAATAGAAGAAATAGATGTGAGTTATAAGGATCCATGATTGAAGACAGTCGCAATTCTATGTGATACTTAGATCTAAACACTAGCGTTCAATCCTTTTGGCAGAAAATATTTCCTCTGTTGTCGACTTTAGTAATAGGTAAGGCACAGTGTACTTTCAAAATATTTTTTTAATGTCATGTCACTTCAGAAAGAAGGCGACCATGGCCTTCCCCACATTTCTTTCCTTGATAACCTATTATCTTGCCATAACAGGTTAGGGAAGAGAGTAGACTAGTTTCCAAAGTAGTGAATTCAGAGCTTTCTATTTACTAGATTGGCCTTAGTCCGAAATTGAAAGCAGAATTTGATCCACAGTGGATGCTTCATACTTTTTTTTTTAAATGATTTCATCCGAAGCAAGGTAATAAAGCAACTAAGACAGAATTGGTTACTAGCGAATATGAGAAAATACTGTTAAGAAGAGAGAACAATAAAAGAAAGGATTTAAGACAGAAGAAAACAATTGGCAATGCATTTCAATTTAGATTTGACTGGGAAGCAAGAAGCCGGAAGAGAGTTCCACAAGCGAGAAGTGCGATAGAAGGAGCTGTTAGCATAGAACTTACGGTTACATCTAGCAATTTTAAATGTACAATGACGAGACCTTGTCAGTAATCTCGTACTGCACTGAAATTAATAAATTCTAAGTACTATAGCGGAAAATAAATCAGAGAAATTACCATGACGGGATTTATAGAAAAGGCACAGGAGAGCTACATTACAGCGGTGTGTTTTTTGTTTTTTTTTTGCTTTATGGCATATCAACCAAAATGGATTATTTAATGCCGACAAAATTTCCTTTTTTTTTCAAAGATGTATAGTTGGTAATTTTTTCAGAAATGTATAGCTTGTAATATTTTTTTAATGAAATATATAGTTTGTTTTGTTTTGTGGCATATTAACCTCAATGTGTTATTTAATGCTGACAATATTTTTATTTCTGGTAATATTTTCTTTTTTAAAATATTTATTGCTGATACTAATTTTTTTTTTAAAGTATTTCTGGTATTCAAATTTATTTTTACTCTTTCATAGTGCTTTGTGTCAGGTTGTGGGTCAACTATTTGCCCATAGCTGGGACCCTAACAGGTGCTACCAACCCCGGGTCAGGGTAGACCTGGGAACGCCAGCAATTAAGAGGTAGTTCCACGCTCCTCAAAACGTCCTGATCAGAGGCCTTGCTGTTGGACGTAGTTTATCGTCTTATCCAGGACGCGGATGCAGTTTATCGTCATAGCCAGGAGGCATTACAGCGGTAGAAATGTGACTAGAGCTGAGATGCCAGTTTAGGATCAATGTAACTGACGATTGTCCTTTGGTGTGAGAGTTCAAACCAAGAGAAATGGTTCGATTTCAAACTAGCGTAGCAATTATTAAAATAATGTTTGATGAAACCTTTTTCACTATCATTATAGTACTCTATTTTATTATTTTGCGTTTTACGTGAAGCTTTTTCACTAGTATTATTAAATATACACTTAGATTAGTATGTTTGGAGATAACAAAAAAAAGAAAGAAAAGAAAAATACCCTGTTAGCTTTTCTACTAGATTTTCGATTCACATCTTTACGGTGTGCAATATTTTTTTCGTATCCGTTCTCTACCTCTTCCTTTGTTTTAATATATTTGTATATATTACTAGCACTAAAGCCCGGCGTTGTTCGGGGTTTTATGTAGTTAAATTTCTTTGGGGTTTAAATTATTGAACTTACGCACGTATCCGCAGTTGTTGAGGTCACTGATAGGCCGGGAATCTCACTGATAGCAAAATCATTGAGATCAAGGGCAACCGGTGGTAATAGGTGCCTGCTGTGTTGCTGCTCCTTGCTTACCCGAAGACTGCCACCCGTTCATAATCGGTCAAGATTTTTAATTCTGGTAATATAAAATAGTGGGTGCGTTTTCACTGTAGGACTCGCCCCTTCACTATTAAGTCCATAAGTTTTCCCAGTTTTAAGTCGAATACGCGGGCGGTCATGTCATGTCTGTGAGTCTAAATCCTGTCCGAGTAGGAGTTCACGAGTTATCTCAACCCATTTGGGGTTGCAGGTAAACATTATAAATAAGTCTGGCCGCCCATATTTGCCTAACGTATGTCATAGCATCCTGTGTGCGTTCATGCATGTAACGCGGCCTCCCAGTGTAGGTAGATGGCAGAATGTACAACTTCCCTGGGTCGCAGGGATTGACTTCATTTCGAAGGCTGTCGCGTAAGTGTACATAGGAGTCTGAGTGCAGCTGTTTCTGATGATTACATATAAAACAAAGCCTTTCAGATTCTATCTTAGCGGCCGTGTCATCCACAATCTGGTGGAAAAGCTCCCTGCATCTATGAAGCAGGCTGAAGTCTCCACTCCTAACCATGAAACGGTATGAGTAGAAGGCCTTGCACGATAAGGCTTTGGAAGATGTTGTAGGTTGGCCACCCGGAGTATGAAGGGGAATGCCGAAGTGGTAGCCCTCGTCGTTATAAGGGAAAAGTAAAAGGTACTGCAATGCGTCATAGGATCGATGGGTCTCTGAAATCTTGCGAAGAGCGCCGCCTTTTGATTTGAGCACAATATCGCGAGTGCAGTCTTGCTCCCCATGTATAATAGCGGCCACTTCGTTGCACGCAAGAGCATTGTAGCGGCGTTCGTGTTCATCATGAGGTCATTTGTCGGCGTCAATTACAATGCTGAAGGGGAGGAAAGGGAGCATGTTCCAAAACGTATTTGAATCTGCGAATATAGCTGTTAACCTCGTGAAGCATGGCCTGAAATAGTATTAATTGACGTCCCTGCGAGGAACTCTTCCCGATGGCGGCAAAATACCAATCCGGGTTTCGGCCTGTAGGTTGTAGTCTGCAATAAAGTACAGTTGAAGGAATTTAAGCGTGGAGGTCTCCTCAGGCAGTAGAGACCTAATGCGGTGGTATATCAGACCCTGTACTTTGAAAGTGGACATCCAACCCTCTTCTCGAACAACCTGAGCCCCCAAATGAGGTCATTTGAAAGTTATAGTTGTATCGCTTAACTGTTTTAAGGAAGTGGTTGGAGTCGGGGTGGGAGCCGGCTATTAGTCCCCTCAGCGAGGTAGGTGGTTCATGCAGAGGTGGCAGTCGAACTTTGCCGGAGGCGCAGCACAGACCGGCAGGCTCCCCGGCCCATTTGCAGGCGTTGCAGGATTGGCAAACTCAGGTCATGGACCCTACATTGAGGTCTTCACTCGTAGTTAAGTTAATGCCGGGGTCGTAATTGAAAGCCAAGAAAGACCAAAAAGAGCTACTTTGACAGGTAACATCACGGACGACCGCAAGGCGCTGAATGTCGCCATCGAGGCATATGCGGCGAGCTTGGGGAGTTTGGGATAAGCGCACAGCGGCCATGTTTGCAGCAGCCGTTGAAAGCAGTCATATTGGTCGCTGTTGCAGCAGCGTCCCTGGATTGACGGGCGCGCCTGCTGTCAAGTGTCTCTATTGCCTTTGATTTCGCAGTGGCAGCAGCGTTTCTTACGTTACGAAGAATCCTTTGATGATGAGTCTCGGAAGCCCGAGATACGGAGGCGATTGCTGCAGCCTGTGCGTTCATTCTTGACCGTTGTGCATTCTTGAGCCTTGATTCCAACGAAGCCCTGTAGGCAGCTTTCCCAGCTAAGCAGTTGGAACGCTCCTCTTGTGACTGCGAGGCCTACGTAAGTGCCCTGCGTCGAGCGACCTGTGATAGTCGCATTGTAGTTTGCTCCTGGGACTCGCGGGCCCTTCTTGCCCTCATAGCTAAGACTTACCCTCCGTTTTGGTGGCATGGGGAAAAGTGATGCTAGTAGTGGTTGATTAGGGTTGTTCAATTGCAGGAGTACAAAGTCTAACTTAGTATCGCAAAGCATGAGCCAGAATCGGGAAGGCAGGTATTTAAGTAAAACAGCTGAATAAATTGTTTATGGTAGTTGGAAAAATGTAGTTAAACAGACAAACGGAAAACAAAAACGTAAGAAAAAACTTGCGGTAGGAGAAATGATCAGTTGAAGGAGCCTATCGTATCAACCGGATGGCAGCATAACAGGAGCAGAAGTGAGATCTTCGTCCCACAGCTGTGCACAGCAGGTTCAAATGCGAAGTATTAATGGTCAATCGGTTGTGCCCATCAGCGAGCGCCCTAGGGTTTCGAACACCAATCAGCGACCGCGTACTGCACTCAGCCAATGAGATACCGCTATGTAAAGCATGGTCACGCGATGTGTGAATAACAATCAGCTGTAGAGTCTGTAGTGTAGACGTCTCAGTTGAACATACGTTTGATTGGTGTATTCGCAAATTCTGATGAAGACATGATTGTATCGACTTCCCTTAGGGATGAGTTGGTCACAAAAGAACTCACAGGGGAAAAGTTTTTAATTGTCACGACTAAAGTCGATAAAGTTATTCAAAATCCCAATCCAGTTGCAAAAAACTTCGCCAAATTCAGGTAAACTCAATTTGAATGGAAAGTCAAAAGGGATATTATTTCATCGATTTTTATCCGATAATTGAAACCGATATTAAAAACGAAAGTCAGCACCTCAATACTGTTAGTAAATACTATACTCAACGGGAATTTTACTGAAAATTCTTCGCCATTTGCGAAAAATATAGCCAAAAATCAGCTAGACTGGACTTGAATCGGATGTCCGAAAGTGATCGATTGTATCGATTTTTTCCAGTAATTGATATTGATATTGAAAATGAATGTCAGCACCTCATAACTGTTGATAAAAACAATGCTCAACGTCATTTTGGTGGAAATTCCTGGCCATTTGCGAAAAATTTAGCGAAAAATCAGCTTGACTTGATTTGAATTGAAAAGTGGCATGATATTATCGATTTTTTCCGATAACTGATACCAATATTGAAGAAAAAGATCATCAACTAATAACTGTTGATAAAACTAATGCTCAACATGATTTTCATGAAAATTCCTTGCAGTTTGCGAAAAACAGAGCCAAAAATCAGCTTAATTGGATTTGAATCGGATGTCCCAAAGTGATCGATTTTATCGATTTTTTCCGATAACTGATATCAATTTTTAAAAACAAAGAACAGCACCTGAAAACTATAAGGACATTGCTCAATGTGAGGTTGGTGTATATCACTTGTAATTTGTGAAAACTATCAGTGAAAAACTGATGAAGTTTTTCGAATCAATATTCGACCCCCTATTGGTTTTATCGATTTTTTTCCAAAATTGGAGGAACAATCAAAAAATCCGAAGACGTCAAGTACGAATGCCGTAAATTTTCGATCTGTGTATGAATTTTCATTCCAATCGGACGAATGGTTTTCTCAGGATGAGTTAACAAGTTGACAAATACATAGACACACTAACAGAATGCCATTTATAGATACAGATGTGAATATATACTTTTAATGTGTACGCTTTAAATGCGATATTAAAACTTTTCATTATTATTATTTTATTACGAGCTATAATCCATCTTAGGATTGTTGGTTTTTAGACGAAACCTTTTCATTATTATTTTATGATGAACTTTAATCTATCTGATTATGGCTGAATTTTTGACGAAGCCTTCCTACTGTTATTATTTACTGCAAGATTTATTACATGCTATTATCGTTGCTCCTTAGACGAAACCTTTTCATTTTTATTTTATTACGAAATTTAATTCATATCAATTATCTTGCTTTGTTGAATAAGTCTTTCATTAATGATTTATTTGTAACTTCAATCCATCAAATATCATTGCTTTTTGTCACGTAAATAAGCTTGTTCTTTTATGACCAATAGAAAATGTTGAATTTTATTATTTTATTAGTATCATAACAATAAAAGATATAATTTCCTTGTAGCAAATCGTGGAATAGTTTAAACAGAGATACTTTAAAAGCAAGATTTATACGCACTTCAGTTATTCAGCAGTTCAAGGACTAACAACTTGGGGGTTTCTCCAACTAGTTTCGGTACCTTAATATATTAAGTGTGGTACCAAAGATGATTGGAGAGATCCCCCATAGTTGGCTGATCATCATTCCGAGTGGCGACTACACATCATTGATCAACATATCATTCTATAATTTCTATTTTTAATAATCGTTAGATATGCAATCAAAGATTCTGCCATCGTCAGATACGAATCTAAACGCTAATGACATGGATTCCATTAGACAAATGAATCCCGTTTGTTGTGATGAAACATTTAATTCATTGGTATCACCCATCAGATTTATTAATATAACGATGTGAAAAATTAATTGTAAGAGACAGTTGAAGATGTATTTGGATCCTCTCTTTCTCTTTTTACTGTTGTTTACCGGATAGAAGGTCCAAGATTAACGCAAAATAGATGGTTGCTAAAAGAGGTTGTTATAATGACGTACGAGGATGGATCAAGAGTTGCATGTTTTGAGGATATGCAAGATAGATAATGGTTGATCTTAGACTAAAAGAGGTTAAAATTTTAGTGATCGAGGAAGCATCCTCTCCGGAGTATTTTTCACAATGTAACAGTTATGAGGAAGAAGCTGTCTGAGTGGGACTATGAAGGGGATAGGGATGGGTTGACTCAATATACATAGTCTGGCGGGTCCTATGTGTAATTTTATGTATTGGTGAAAGCGAAGGATGGCGTTGCCAAGAAAATAGTAATAGAGTAAACATGAAGCTAGCAATGTTTTGTCTGTTCTTCGATGCCATTTGTCTTGTGATCAAGACACAAAAAATAGGAATGAGTAGTAAATCAGTTAATTTAAATGATTAGGCTTCAGAATCAGTTTATGATTAAAGCGAAAAGAGAGGGCGATGATGCGCATGTCCTCTTTACAAAGCTGACATCTGAAGGAGTCAGCAGAGTGGTAATACACCTTATTTAATCAATGTTTCCCAATATACGTTATTCTAGCGATGAAATCCAGGCTGTACTTACCGTATCTATCTATCTATCTATCTATCTATCTATCTAGCCGTTTGTTTGTCGATATAGGATTATTAATGTCCGCAGCCTTATTTTTTCAAAATAAATATTTATAATGTAATAATTCAGCGCATAGCGGCATTATATTATACTCGTATATACTTATCTAGCTACATAGTAAGCGATCAGTCGCTAGATAATGGTTGTAGAAAATCTGTTGCCTATGTCTCTCTGATATATATATATATATATATATATATATATATATATATATATATATATATATATATATATATATATATATGAGATAAGGATATATATTTTATATATCAAGAAGAGTATTGGAGAAATTGGTAGACAAAATGGAAAAACAGTTATTTATATATACACGTAATCGAAATTATTGGGAGTATTTGAGATAATCATAATTAAGTACTTCATCGAGTCTAGAATAAACCTCAAAAAAATGCCGAAAGCACTGGGCAACCATTTCCTCCTATATTTGGGGCTCATCAGCAGGGCGCATCCAGTACCGAGAATTGAAATCCGGACATTTACAATATCGGGTAAACGTCATACCAACTGTACCAAGAGGCCTCGGTGATGAATAAGGTAGCGGATCAGACTCGATATAGCGCCGCTCGATCACATATTCCGCGGTCGAAATCGTCCGAGTTTCTTTTACCCATAGGACTGTGCCCCCATGAACCACGACTACTATCCCGCAGCCGCTCCACCCAGAGCATTAGAAGCCGGTTTAAGCAAGGATATACAAGTGATAAAAATTATTAGGAGGATTTGAGATAATCATAATTAAGTTATTATATATATATATATATATATATATATATATATTACAGCAAAAAAACAAAAATTGCCACATGTGCATGTAGGCTTCTTCTAGACTCGATGAAGTATTTAATTATGATTATCTCAAATACTGTCAATAATTTCAAATATATATATATATATATATATATATATATATATATATATATATATATATATATATATATATATAACTGTTTTCCATTTTGTCTACCAATTTCTCAATACGCTTCTTGATATATAAAATATATATCCTTATCTCACATGTATATATATACATGTGTGTGTGTGTGTGTGTTTGTGTTTGTATGTGTGTGTGTGTGTTTGTGTGTGTATGTGTGTGTGTGCGTGCGTGCGTGTGAGATAAAAATATATATTACAGAAAAAACAAAATTTACCACAACATGGAAGATAGTCTATTTCAAGACGTTCTATACGCGGCTATCGTCAGCCCCTCCCGATAACAGGCACGTATAGAACGGCTTGAAATAGACTTTTATGTTGAAGCAATTTTGTTTTTTTTTGCTGTAAAAAATACATATGCTCTGTATTAATAAATACATTGAGCTCTCTATGGATCAGTTTTAATAACTAATATTACTAGGATCTACCCGGATTATATACCAACGGATCGATTATATATATATATATATATATATATATATATATATATATATATATGAAGGGATTTATTATATAGAGATATAGATATGTAAAATTTGAGATATGAGTAAAATATGTGTAAAAGGACAATATGAATAAAGATATAAAGAAAATTATTTTTGCCGAAGTGTTTCATCCTCTCATCGACTTTATCAAGGCAACGTTTACATAGTTCTGTGAAGATTATGCGACAAAGTGGAAAAAGGTTTTGTTTTTACAGAAAACCCTTTTTGTATTCGTGTACAACCTATTCGTAAGGAAAATGTCTTGAAACTTTTGACGAAAGGAAAATGGTAATACTTGCTATTTCCTTATAAGCAAACATTCGTCATTCATTGACCGAGTTGCCAGTTGCCTTCGGTTGACATTTATAAAATCTTTCTCTTCAAATAGTTTATCGGGAAAGTTTTCAAGACCAATAGCTGTTAATACTCTTTTCACTATTGATTGGGGAATTTCCTTCTTTGTCTTTTTTGGGGGGCAGCATGGAACGTCATTATCTTGATTATGACATAATTCTCTCTTCGAGTTAAATGTGATACGATTGTATTTTTATAATCCAGCGCATATATAGAGGGCCGTTGATCCCAAAGTATGCATTAACTCTTTGAAAGGCTTTGTTTTTAATGCTGTCGGTGTCTAGCCACTAGAAAAGTTTGGTAGAGAAACCTGTTTAGTCACCGATAAGCCGACCGTGCAGTACTTATTACTGGGTTATATAGTAACAGGCAGTATTCATAGAATATCTTGACTAGATAGATAGATAGATAGATAGATAGATAGATAGATATATCTTGACTAGATAGATAGATAGATAGATAGATAGATAAATTTAGGGGAGACTACGAAATGTTCTGAAGCAACAAACAAAAGACAAGTGATTTTTACTATTAGGAAATAGGCTAAATTTACTCTTGGCTTTTACGAAATTACATCTGTCTAACTTGGGTTATTGGAAAAATCATTTAATTTCTTGCTCGGAAGATTTAGTCATTTCCAGTGACAGTAAATCCCAATTTCTCTCCCTAGGCTTCCGATTTGCCCGGCTTGTGATGTGTGCGAGTAGGCACAGAAACTACAAATATTGCTTTTCCTCAAAAATCTATTTTGTTCAGCTGGGATAATATTAGTTCTTAGATTTCACTAGTGTCCTCTAAACCCAATATACAAAGTTAGAAGACACGACTGTAATTGGGATTTGCACATTGACACATGCGTAGTCATAAGAGATTTAAAGTAATGACTATGAGATATGCATCTCGGATAGGAAGCAGTTTATATTAAGAATCTGTTTAGATCGTTATACTTTTTCTAATTGTCATTTCTTTTCAGATAAATGATGACAACCATCAAGTCAACTCGACAAATGAAAAGACAGATCTTAATTGTTGCTTTAAAGATAGAGATTAAAGAATGCGCAGTTCTTGAAAGTTGCACGGTCATTTGTTGTCAAAGTTCGCAAAGAGCTGGAAGCCACTGATGTGGTTTCTATAACCAATAGCCAAAAGTATGATAGAGCGTATGTAAATATAAAAGTGGAAACTGAGGTCAATATCAAATGACGAAAGTCTGTTTCATGGATGAATATAATTGTCAGGCCATATATCATGCACAATATCCCAATTTATTTCTAAAATGACTACTAATGCTATCAGAAAATAATGTCTGATCTTGAATTAATAGAAGGCAGACACAGGTGTAATGGTAATATTACCTGTTTCCTTATGGGAAAACATTCGGAATTCATTGAGGAAACAACCAGTGCTACATTTTTTTCAGAAAATAAACACAAAAATCTCTTATCCTCAAAAGTTTCCATCCTACTCCATCGTGGTATTCCACTTTTAAATTAGTACATATGTACTCACCTCGTAGAATCTTCTTGACTGCGTTCTTAGCCATGTACGAGTCGCCTTTCAATTCATAGTAGATAATTAATTTAACTTTCTTGTTTTTTGTCTACTGGAGTTTTATATTTCTTTGTTTCTAAAGGAAGATACATCATGCTTATAGTCATTTGATCTTTATAGAAAATGTTATCCTTATTTCTGCGTTTTTAGTGTTGATCTTGATTACCGTAGAAAGAAAAAGTCTAAATGGTGATCTATGATTTAATTAGGAACACCGTTATTAACTAGCATGTGTTTCACGTTGTTAAGGTCTTTAAAGAAAAATCGATGAGATGATGAATTCGCGTGTGCTCTCATGAAGAAATTTTTTTATAACGCCTATTTTATATCTAAGTGGATATTCACTAGTAAAATTAAGGTTGCAAGAGTTTCTACAAATGTTTATATATATATATATATATATATATATATATATATATATATATATATATTATATATTATGTGTATTTAGGCAGCATTTTTCATTTATACACGTTTCATTAAATAATATAGACAAGTGTTGTCTATTTATTTTATGTAAAATTTTTCGTATCTTCTGATAAGTTTGGTAACATTATCATTAACCGAAAAGAAATTCACAATATTTATCCATTATTTTTTAATAAAATCTAAGCTTTCGGCTTACTCAAGCCATTATCAAAGATGTAATTACAAACATATCAAACAATATACGGACACGACAGTGATGATAGTCTGCTATTGTTTTGTTTACATAGTGGATCACTAAGCAACGATGAACACGCGCATATAAGACGCTAGAAGCGAAAAAATGCACCGCATCTCATGACGTCACACATGACTACACGAGAGTGAATTGTAGAATGAAATAAAGAAAGCCGTTGGTATAAACCAATGGCTTCTGTTACCAATTATAGAAATTATAGACATTTAAGAATATTTGTAGAGATTCCATAGTTGATTTTGTTTAGGTTGGGTTTTAACTGTTTGATGTATAATGCTTCAAGTATTTTTAGTTTTGTCTATTGTTTTCATGTCGAAGTATAAAGGTGTTTTCGACAAGTATTTTACGGAATTGTGTTATGCGGGCAGGCATGTTGTTTTAAATGCCTAAAAATGTTAGGATTTTCATTAAAATGTAGTGTCAAGCGTCGTGAAAGCGAGTTTGTGGTGTGACCAACATAAATATTATTTAATTCGTTGGAGATACACACCTCCCAAAGGGCACTTGAATTTATAAACTATGTTGGTTTTTTGCAAATCGCTAACCGGGGAGAAGAATCATTGCGAAGTATTAAGTTGGATATACTAGATTTAGTGTAGTATATGATTAATTTAATTTTTTTTGCTAGGATATGTAGTTGATATATTAGAATTTAATAAATTTTTTAGTATGTGTTCATCTTGTTTATAATTAGTATGCATTTGATTACGATATAGGAGATTAATATATTTGAGATCAGTAGAAGCAGTATTATGTACAATTTGCTATAATTTGAATTATTTCATCTGTATTTTTAACTAACATAAGAATATCATCAACGTATCTTAGGTAGATTGATGGTTTTTTAAAATCTGTAAATAACTTATTTTCGAGGTTCGACATGTAGAAATTGCTAAATGTCGGGCCCAATACTGAACCCATGGAGACACCATCACGTTGTATATATATATTGTTATTATGATCGAAGAAAGGGACTTCAGTAGTACAAGTTAATAGTAGTTTTCTTAATATTTAGGATTAATTTTAAGTGGGGGTAAGATGAGTTACTGTATATTTTCTTATGATTATGTCAATAGTTTCACTAACAGGGACATTGGTAAATAAGTTTTTCAACATCAAGGAAGCCATGATTTCATTGTCAGGTTTTTCACTTTTTTAGGATTTGGATTACTTCTAATGTTGACTTAACACTATATTTACTAGGAAGATAGGGAGTAATAAGTTGGTTGATGTATTTTGTTAGATGATATACAGGAGTTGGAATTTGCGATATGATAGGACGGGAGAGGATAGTTAGGTTTTATGTGTTTTATAGTGCCATATATGTAGCCAGGTCTATAATCACCAACAATTTTAGGGAGTTTTAAAGAGTTCTGTTCAGCATTATTAGCATTAATAAGTTTATTAAGCTTTGATTTTAGTTGGTTGGTCGGGTTCTTGTTAAGTTTTTTAAACTTTATGTGATCATGGAGTATGTGGTCTAGTTTTTTGTTGTAATCCAATTTGTTTAGGATGACAAAAATGTTGGTCTTATCAGCTTTTTTTTACAATAATGTCAGCGTGGTTACGTAGTTCTTGTGCGGCAATTTTTCAGTTGTTTAGAAAGAATTTTGAGGAGTTTCTGCTTTTATCATGTCGATCTTTCAGTGCCTCGGCCTTAAGTAAGTCTTTAAATTCTGGTGTAGTTTCTATTAGTTGTTCATCCTGGAGTTTAACGATGTTTTGGTATAGGTCTCAATTTCTATTTTTTAAAAAAGTCGATTGTACTTACGGTATATATGGCAGTTAGGTCCAAGGTTAAGTAATTCTTTTTGGTGCTTAGTTAGTTCATAGTTGGAAAGGTTAATGTATTTATCAGTTTTGTTAGGAAGAGTGATATTACCTTTGTATAATGTATTCAGTTTTTTATAATTTTAATTCGGTGTTGAGCTTCAGATTATTGGTAATTTCCGTGAGTCTATGTGTAATTTCCTCCAGTTGGTCCGGGGTAGTTATATCCTGTAGTTCATCGTAAATGTCCTGTTTTTTGCTGTTAAAATTGTTTAATTTTTCTTGGGATATTTCGATTTGCCTTTTCACAAGGCTACATTTGTAATTCCAAGTATTCATAGTATATTGGGCTGCTGGATCATGTAATTTAATGTAATGTAATTTAAATTTTAATATGTAAAAAAATAATGGATAAATATTGTGAATTTCTTTTTTCGGTTAATGATAATGTTACCAAACTTATCAGAAGATACGAAAAAAGTTTACATAAAATAAATAGACAACACTTGTCTATATTATTTAATGAAACGTGTATAAATATATATATATATATATATATATATATATATATATATATATATATATAACGAAGTAGTGAATATGTTATTACTAGGCTTCACAAGAACGTCCAAGAATGGAAGTTTATTTTTTGATTAAGTTCAGAGTGAAGTTAAGGAGAAAATGTTTTTCGAATGTAGTTTTGAGATTATCGATTTCTTTTTTGTCTTCAGCTAAAATCAAAATATCATCTACATAAATGACATATATTTTAGGTTGAGAATTTTTTAGGTTTTAAATACCTTATTTTAAACATGATATATGTAGTAGTTTGAGAAGCACGGTCCAAGTGGATTTTCCACGCTAACTCAATTAATTTGGGTATGAATAATTCTAGTGTGGTCGTAAAAGAGAACGTTAGTTGTGCAGGAGTGTAGTAATTTCTTGAGACTATTAGGTACTAGCAGTAGAGCCCGGTGTGGCCCGGGATGTAACAGTAAGAGATAGATCAAGTATCGACCATCATAAAGACTGAAAAATAAAATTGACAAAGATTATTGTTTAAGGTTGACGGACACGCATGTCTTAATTAGATTTTTTTTTTTTTTACGAATTGGTCAAACCCAAACTCAAACAAAAACATTGTTTTCAATCGTTATGAGTCTATCGATTGAATAGAATTTTATTATAAACAATTGTCTTGTAAATGGAATTTTTAAAGCATTCTGAATGTAAAAATAAAGAAAAAACGTGTGCAAGACAATAAGAAACAGTACCTGCCAAAAAAAAAATGAAGTTTTGTTGAAATCGGTTGAAAAATGTAGGAAATCCGATCCCATATATAAAGGAACACACACACACAAACAACCTGGGTTTTATAATAAGTATAACTCGATATGAGTTGTCCCCCTTTCATTCTGGCGACAGAATCGTGTTTTATTGTGTTTTCAAATTGATTTCGTGCAAAAACACTTGTGTTATTCCAATTTTTGGCGCAGTCCTGTGAAGTTTTGTTGAAATCGGTTGAAAAATGGAGGGAAATCCGATCCAATATATAAACGTACAGACACACACACACACAATCTACGTTTTATAATATGTAAGA